ATTTAGTTCTAATAAAAAAAAAATATAAAAAAAAAAAAAAAAAAAAAAAGAGTCATAATAGATCGCTTATTGTTATATAAGATTATGCCATTATATGTTATGTGGTTAAGGTGGGTCATAGAACATTAATGAAAATATATTGCTTCTTCTCTACATGTCCTCGTTCATGTAATAAATCGTTCTCATATAAAATAATTTTTCTTGTCTAAGCAAAAAATATTTCGTCAATTGCAATGGGAAAAATTCTTGGTTTTTATCACGAGTACCTCTACGACTTTTTTTTATTGGATTACGTAGAAAGTGAAAATCTAACTACCTTTACGTTATGTGTGTGTTTTTTTCTTCCTCAATTTGTTTTGTGTGTTGTACGTGTAAAAAATGATAAAATAATATGATAGCTTAATATGTGATAAAAAGAAATTATTTCAAGCTGGTATATATATATATATATATATATATAGAAGGCCTAGTAAAAGACAGACACATAGCAAGTTCATTTGTACCTCTCCCTCAATATTATTTCTACTGCAAAATTATAATTTTGGAGCGGTGTTCTTTGGTTCGGGGATCTTTCGCTGCACTCAAACGGTCTAACGGGTTGACGTATCTTGGGAGAGGAGCGCACTATAAGACTCTAAATTACCAGTGCAGTGAGGGCGTTTTCCCTCTAAGGATAGCGCTATACGTGCTTCAATTCAGGCTACTCTAAACTTTTTTTTTTTTCCATTATGAAAGAGTTCCTTTTTGTCAAATACAAAGGTTAATTTTTTTTTTTAAGAATTTGGCAGACATCAATTGGATAAACGTATTTTTTTAATTTAAGTTTTTTACATTAGTAAAAGTTTGATCACTTAATTAAATAATATGAGTTCCTTTCCATTCACACGGATATATATTGAAAGAATCATGCATTTTATTACAACTTTACAAAAAGTAAATCAAAAAGGAAAATTTTACGTTTGACGTTCCAAATCTCATCTTTAGTATTTGGGACAAATACTTCCTCATCATATTTGTTACATTTACACCCTAATATAAGTGTGTTTGCATTGTATTTGTATGAACGTGGCAAAGGATTAAAGAATACAAGGTACAAAACTGACAAGTTATAGATTGGTAGGTTGTAGAGGAGATTCCTTGAAAATCATAAGTACGTAGTAACCACCACATATTGAATTGACTTGTAAATATGTAAATATACTAATTCACAATTTATTGATTTGATTATAATTGGATTACACTTTTATTAAGTGTCGTCGGTTATATATATATATATATATATATATATGTATATATATATATATATATTTATTGTATTTTAGTAATTAATTTAACGAGGCCTTAAATTGATTAGAAGAAAAAAAAAAGTTTTTAAGTCGTCTGCGTTACCCGTGTTGGTAACTGTGTTGTGTTTCCTTGTGTCTAAGTGAAGCATTATAGTTATTCTATTGACATCACAAGAACAATGTTATTTGCATGTTTAAAAATATGATATTAGTTGTAGATAAATAAAAATCTCAAGCGTGTGGTTCAGTAGTAGGGGTTGATCCATGCTTAAGAAAGGTCACGGGTTCGAATCCTGCCTTGTATATACAGCCGCCTTAAATCTTAAGGTCAGCTATCCTACCCTTTGAGGTGCCTCCAACCTAACTTATTTTAGGTAAGATTAAAAGGTTTGTGTATTCTAAAATTTAAAAGGCGACTGTCTAAAATAATTGTTTAAACTTATACAAATTATAACTAATTAAGAAACCAATATAAATATAAAAATAATATAGTTATTTTTAATGAAGGTAAGCATAACTTGAATTTAGTTTGAACTTTGCTCTTCTATTTTACGGATACAGACAATTGCTACGATATTCAACTCAACTATTGTCAAATTAACTTGTGTAAGAAATCATGAACGGTGAAAAGTTGTAGCACGGAGATATTTTGATCTTCTTAATTTTTATTTCTTAACCGAGGAGGAACGTATATTCAACTTTGATTTTCTGGAAGTTTTTTAATTTCCTAATTTTTAGAGCATGAATGTGAAAAACGTACGAAGGGTAAAAGAAAAAATATTCCATAATAATTTGTTTTCTAAAACCAGTTAATATGTGAACGCAAATAGATTTACAGTACTATCTATCAGTAACAATTATATAACAATTATGGGCGATACTATATGGATTAAAATAATGAGTGGGAGAGGACAAACTTGATGACCTAAAAATTCAACAATCGTTAGTTGTACCAAAAAGAAAAACAAACATTAGTAACCATAACTTAATGTTTTAAATTTACAGACGATATTTAAAATATAGGCAACAACAAAATATGGTTTGAATTGGAGGCAGTAGGTTGAACAGAAATATATGATATATGAAGAAGAATCCTGAACCAATTGGAGTGCTCCACTAATGAAAAGATACATGCATATCCTTAGTCACCAACCTTCATTTTAAATTTAATTTTGTTAGTTGTTCATAAAGTCGGTTGAAGGTTGAGCTGTCAATGTTTGGTTCTCAGTTCTCACTATTGGTATGGTGGTGCTGTGCTTTTCATCTTCCATGTTCTTTACTTAGAATTGTTGTGCAAATATATTACGTAATTTTTCTTTATATCAAGTGTAGTAAGAAAGGTGCAGTGTATCTGCAGCGTAAGCAACCCGTCTTGTTAAACTGAAAAACACAGGTCACTCACCACCAACTTTGAAATGAAAGGGTTTTGCTTTGTTCATAAATCAATTAGGGTAAGTCTATAATTGGAGATCAAATTCCAATCAAATTTAATAAATAAATTTTTTTATTAAATTAGTCTATTATTTTATAAAAAGAGCAACACCATATTTAATCATTAAATTATTGGTTTGATTAACAATGTTGACGTTATTAATATTTTACTGTCAAGTGATTAAATTGATGGTATTTTTATAAGAGACCAAAATAAGTGATGGATGTGACCAAAAAATGTGTGGTGTTTTTGTATACTCATAAGAAAATACTGTAATATTTAAGGTGATCTAACAAACATGCGTGCACCTTTTGTTACAAAACTCAACATCATTAATTAGGAACTGTTCAGATGGCAACAGATACAGGTCGAGGGAGGGGCGGCTATATTATTTGTGGCGGGACACAAAACTGGTGGTTGAATCATCAAAAACAAAAGTTATTAAATACATACATAAAGCAATTGAAGAAAAAAAAAATCATATAAAAATCTGAATTGAATATTCTCTTTTCTTTGTTCTTTGATAACTTTTGTTTGAAGAGTAGCTGTTGCGTCTAAAACAAGGAAGTATTTTATCCATTGCATTCGGATAATTGAAATACTTCCAAGCAACATCTCATGTCTAGCAAATTTGTCCAATAATGTTGTGTCTTTCTTTTCACCAAAGTAAAATTAAGGGGAGGAGAAAGAATGCTTACTTTATATTGTTTGGTTAAAACAGTTTTATGACACCATTTTCTCTATAATTACAAAATTGAATAGATCTTATAGTTTATTATACATCATAATTTTAATTTGATATAATTTAAACTTTAGAGTTGAACGCAAAAATTTCAATAGCAGCTAGCGATAAAAATAGGCTTTGAAGAGAAGATATGCTATCCAATAGGGAAAGAAAGCAGTCCTAATATCAATGACACAAGTACGCCATTCATTCTTAAACTCATGAGTTGGGAATATAAAAAGAAGAATTTATATAAAAATTATACAAAAAAAAGAAAGAAAAAAAAGAAAGAGAAATAAGGAGTATGTAATAAGACAATTGATATGATGAAAAAAGAATTATAAAAAATGGGAAAGTTGGTTCAGGGGATTAGTGTGTCGTTGACAATGAATAGAAGAGAAGAGAAGAGAATAAAAGAGGAGTATCGTTGATTAAAAAAAAAGAGCAGAAAGAAACGAGACGCCTTGTGAGGTGTGACCTGACCCACTTCTGTGCCTGTGGGTTCGGCGCTATATTCCACGTGATCCTTTTGCTCATTTTGAGGACAACTTACCAAAATTAGGTTTTTATTAAATGCCTATTTTAAAAAAATTCAAATGTGCAACTCTGTTTACAAATGCAACTTTACATTTACTTTCAAATAGAGTAAAAAGTTGAATGGGAAGAGAAAAACAAGAAATTGAGGGGGAAGAAAAAAAATAAGCCATAAATCATTCCATAAAAAATTAGATAAGAAATAGAATAATTATTATTAAATAAGATAACATTACGTGAAAAATTTAAAAAAATTATATTTTATATAGTTAAAATTTTGTATATAAACATTGAATAACTATTTTTTACTTTTATTTATTAATATAATTTAGTAACATAATTGATTGTGTTACTCGATACAATCATTTTGTTATGTTATATTTTAATGTGTGATTTTACTTTTTATAATAGTCATATAATTGATTACAAGGATTTTGTTACACAAAAAATATTCTAATATGTCATATTCCTATTAATATAATATTATTTATTAGTATAATATTTTTATTTTGAACTGAAATTTTCATTAATTTTTTTTTTGTTGTCATCTAAAAGCTTTCATGTCAATGAAAGTTTTGTATACCTTTTAAACTCATATTTATTCTTTTATTATAATGATTTAGAACTTTCATTCATTTAAAACAACAACTAATGACTTTTGAAAATCACTATCAAAATATGAAAACTCACATTTAAAACATGAAAACAAAAAGTATAAAAGAGTGTCTCCGAATCTTACTTCGATATAAGTTGAAGAGAATGTTTTGTGAAGCAAATATTAAGAAAAACTAAGATTAAGGATTTAACGTAAAAGGAGAAAGTAGGTGTTAAAAAAAAGTGGTTATGGAGACGAAAGAGTTTGATCTGAAAATGGAATAGTTCGACCCGATCCGTGTAGAGCGCATAAAGGAAGAGAGGGAAAAAAATGAAAGAAAAAAGAGAAAAGGGAGTGGTGGTAATGTCATGGATGAAGGTAACAGCTGGACTTTCGTCACCATCACAGCTGTGTCCTGTCTTCTATCATTATTCATTTCTACGTTAATAACAGGATAAATAAAAGTGGTCCCCCTTTAAAGTTCACCTCAATTAAACACCACAAATAATGTACCTAGGAGAAAATAAAAACCAAACTCCTAATGCTAATAAGGGATCATCCATCCATCACTTTCATTTCACCCTGCCCATATTAAAATAACATCTTTCCACTCCTCCCATTATTGTTTTCTTGGTTTCTCATTACACAAAAGTACGCTATTTAGTTGATTCATTGTTTCTATTACTAAAGCATTTTATTTCAATTAAATTAGGGGATCAATAGGTTAGATATCCATATAACAAGACAAGCACACAAAAGATGCACTTGATGCGTATATTATCTAGAATGTTTATGAAACCAACCCAAAGAGCAAGAGTCCAAGAAATAAAAACTGAAAAAGCACAATTAGGAAAGGCTAAACTCAGAGAGAATTGATTGAGACAAAACAAAGAAGCCAAAGAAAAGACAAACTAAAAATTAAGACACAATTAAAAAGGAAGCACACAAAAGAGTATTCCTAGAATGACACTAGAATGGATTAGTTTTTAGTCCACTTGCTTAAGTCTTTTATATGATTAGGTCCAACCACTCTTAAGGTCTCAAAATAGGTTCAAAAAGGTCTTAAGTCCAACTCCCAAATGCATAGGTAAAGGTCCAAGTCCACAAGTCTAACAACAAGTCCTTTTGGTCAATTTTTTTTGTTCTTTCTTTTCTTCCTTTTCTTTCACGTCAATTTTTTTTTATATTCCTTGGGTCCAAATTTTTTTTTAAATGTTTAGCCCATTTTTTGCTTAGGTTTTGCACTTGTGGGTGGGAAAAATTAGGTCAAATTTAGGAGAAAGAGAAAGGAGACAAGTGGCAAGTTCTTAGAGGGTTTTAGGGAATCTTTTTAGTGGAATTGGTCTTGTACTATTTAGGACAAGTTGTTTTGTACTAAATTTCCAGCACACCTCTTAGATTCTTTTAGGGTTATTAAGCATCAAATAAAGACCATAACAAGTGGAATGCAAGGGAAAAGTGGGCAGCAAGTTAGATGCATGTGCAAGGAAGCATTTCACACATGGAAACTCA